AGCACCAGCTCCGACTGCCTGCGGGGTCCCCGAGCCTCCCCTCGAGCAGACTGTCACCTCCCGATGGCCGGGCGCCACTGATGACCGTTACCTGGAGCCACGAGGGGTTCCCAACGGCGATTTCCTAATTTTATCAGTTACTCTGAATTTATTAGCTGGACTCTTCTATACACAAAAAAACTTCCCCACATCGGCTGCTCATTTACCCTGAGACACGGCTCGCTCGGGAGGGCGCCCTAATGCTGACTTCTCTGTCCCCACTTTTCAGAGTAAGGGCTGGATTCCGTCAAGCCTTCGGCTCCGTCTCGCATCAGCGGGCGTCCCGGCGAGCGGGCTCTGTGTTCCCAGGACCGGACCCCACCGTCTGAGACCCCCCGTCGGCCCATCCCGCACCCAGACCTGCAGTCACACGTAGTGAGCCCGCGGGTGGTCTCAGAGCCCTCAGTCTGGGTGCTGGGCTCCCCCTGCCACTTCCGGGCCTTTTGGTAGAAAAGCTAAGAAACACGTGAGCTTTAAAGAGTAAACAAAGTTAGTGTTCACAGTGGTGTTAAATTAATTAAACGAGGAGGCCCTGAGCCTGAGGTCACCTCACTGCCCTGGTGGCCCAGGTGGGAAACGGAAACACGGAGGACGGCCCGTCCCAAAGAGCTCGCAGCCTCACCTGAGCCCATCAGCGAGCTCCTCTCTCCGTTGCCCCTTCTCTGTGTGTCTCCGGGCTCCTGGGTGCCGCCTTCCCAACCACGTCGGGTTGGCGCTGCCAGGCTGAGCTGATTGATGTTTACTCAGATCAGCTCTTAAAACGTTAACTCTGGCCCTGGCTGGTTGCCCAGTGGTCAGTGTCGGCCCTCGGCCTTGGGAGGGTCCTGGGCGTGAGCGTCAGGCGAGACCACGGATGTTTCCCTCTCGGCCCCCCTTTCACTCTCTGAAGAGCAATGGAAATGTACCCTCTGTGAGGATTTTAAAAATCCTTTAAAATGTCAGATATGCCCAAGTTTATCTTTCACAGCAGGTGCATCTGTTTCAAATGTACGCTACGGGCCGGGGTTCTCACGTAACCTCGCTGCCTCAGATTGTGTTTTTCTTACGCTGCGAACTTTAGAGCCGTCCACGTGCACTGACTGATCTGGCTGCAGAACAGCGCCCGTGACGCGCGGTCCTCACACCGCTCCGCACACGGCACGGGGCAGATGGGGCCGGGTGCCACGGGAGGCGCCGCGGAAACCGAGAAACGAAGCCACCTTCCTGAACTGGAAAGCGCGAATAAAGCCGGGGACGGTTCCGCATTCACTCTGTCTCGGGGGCACCCTCGGGGGTGATGCCTGGGCAACGTTTGTACCATCACAGGAAACTCCTCCCAACACCACGTCAGGACACACCGCTCACCTCATCCACGGCGTGGGCCACTTCTCCAGACGCAGGGCTGGGGGGGAGAAACTGGTCAAACACGCCACCCAGACATTAGGAGGCGTGCGGTTTCACTGCCGCATCTACGTTTTCTCCTTAAAACACATGTGCACACGTGTGCATGCACACAAGCACACATACAGACACACACAAATGCAGACACACGCACGCACACACATGCACACGCAAGCACACGTGCACCCCACGCAGAAGCAGGTCACCTGTTGTGTGACACCGGGCTGCCGGGCCCGTCGTCCAGGGTCAGCGGCGGGCGGATCCGACAGTGGACTCTGATGTTCCCCCTTAGCTCCTGCGACAACAGGGCAGCCAGCTGGGAGCCGCCTCCGGGTCAGGCGCCGGGACGGAGCCCGGGCGGGGAGTCCTACCCGGCTTCGGAAAAAGCCCCTAGGAACCACTCGGCGGTCGGCGTTGTTTTTAACTTAAAAAAATTCATGCTTAGATTTGTTTAAAAAATGACACACGATTATCGCCCGGTAGTAAGTATCACGGAAATGCCTCTTCCTGGCCCCCGGGCTACATCTCCGGGGCGTTTTAGGAGGAGTTTCTGGGGTCTGGGGCCTCCCAGGGCCCGGGGAGAACGGGGGCCCGCAGCACGCTCACCACCAGGCAGTTGTGCAGCTGCTGGCGCCGCTGGCTCTCGCGGTGGAAGCGGGCGCGCGCCTCCTGCAAGGACTGCTCCAGGCGCAAGGCCCTGGCCCTCCACGCTGCAGGCAGGGTTGCCCCAGGTCACAGCACGGCCACGGGAGGGGCCGCCCACCGACGCCCACCCTCCTCCGAGTACAGGACGTTCTAGAAAGACCCGGGCAGCAGCGGCGTGTGGGCTGTGGGGGCCAGGGCCGCGCCCGGCCGCTGTGCTGACCGGGACTGGCAGCTGGCACAGAGCACTCGCACCCAGGCCCACCACGGCCGCTGTGCTGACCGGGACTGGCAGCTGGCACAGAGCACTCGCACCCAGGCCCACCACGGCCGCTGTGCTGACCGGGACTGGCAGCTGGCACAGAGCACTCGCACCCAGGCCCACCACGGCCGCTGTGCTGACCGGGACTGGCAGCTGGCACAGAGCACTCGCACCCAGGCCCACCACGGCCGCTGTGCTGACCGGGACTGGCAGCTGGCACAGAGCACTCGCACCCAGGCCCACCACGGCCGCTGTGCTGACCGGGACTGGCAGCTGGCACAGAGCACTCGCACCCAGGCCCACCACGGCCGCTGTGCTGACCGGGACTGGCAGCTGGCACAGAGCACTCGCACCCAGGCCCACCACGGCCGCTGTGCTGACCGGGACTGGCAGCTGGCACAGAGCACTCGCACCCAGGCCCACCACGGCGGCTGCCCCAGCACCGGAGGCTCCCACCGCGACCCGGGCAAGGGAGGAGCCTGGGCTGCAGGGACAACTGTGTTGACGTCTGGGCAGCCACATGTTTGCGCTTAGCTGACAAGTAAGGACGACGACAGGGGAGCCGCAGCGGCCAGGTAGGACCGATGGGGACCGGACGCCTGCCGGCCAGGTCTGCAGACCCCCCTCCCACCGGGCCCCGGGCAGCACCCGCTCAGGGCGGGAGGGTGACCCTTACAAGGCAGAGCCTCGAGGTGCCGCTGCGCTCCCCGGGTGGCCGCGAGAATCTCGGACAGACAGGCCTGCTGCTGGTCCCGGCAACTCCTGAGAAGCTCCACAGAGGACGCCTGGAGTTCCCGGAGGTCCTGCCTCAGCTTCTGTGAAACGGGGGCGTCCGCGGTCAGCACAGTCGCCGTCAGCCCTACAGCGCAGCCGGGGGACGGTCCGCGCGCCTGGAGGACGAGAGCACGCGGCTCCGTCGACACAGCCGCACGCTCATCTCCTGCGAACCAAACCTGTGTAACACCCAAGGGCGCCCTCGCGTCGCTCCCCCGGCGGGCGTGTAAGTGAACCGTGAGCCCAGGCTCAGCTCCAGACTCCCCCACTCCGAGGGCCCGGGGCGTGGGCCTCGCGAAGCAGCTGCGACCTCACACCCGTGTGACCGAGGCGTCGCGGTCTCGGGTGCTCCAGCGGCTTCCCCGGGAGCAGAGCTCGCCGCGCGGGGGAAGGTTGGTCTCTGCACTGCCTGTTGCCCCGAGGTGCCGGCGGTCGCCCTCGGGCCCGGGAACCGAGCCTGATCCATCTGTCCAGACCCCCTCCCGGAAGACGGACTGTGGGAGCGCAGGCTAGAGACGGGGCCGCCGCCGGGATCCACCCGCCAGAGAGGCGGCAGGAAGCTCCCACGGGGCGGGGAGGCCTGCAGGACGTGCGGACAATGGCGCCGGTCAGCAGCGCCCTGCGGGCCACGCACCCTCCCCCTGGGTGGGCCTGGGCCCGCGGAGGCACTGCGGCATCTCGCCTGACGTCAGACGTTAAATCACGGACCCGGACTAGGTGCTCGCTCGGTCTTGTTTTCCTATAAGAGGGAGATCACTTCCTTCCACGTGTTTGGGAAACATTTTAATAAAATGTCAAAACTAAGTGGAGCCGAAGTATTTTTGTTACCCGGAAGGCAGGCGGTTATGCAGTTTATTTAGAGCTGGACTAATTTCACTCGGAAGAGAACCGAGTGAATTCTACGTGAATCCACCCTAAACACGCGGGAAAACCGCCTCTAAGGGGATGAATCCCGTGTCTTTGCTGTTGTAACAACGATCTTGTTTTTCCTTCTAATTCCTACGCGGGTCCAGGCGAGGGCACCTCCCGGCGGGTGCGGCTCTGCGCAGCGACTTGAAACCATTCGCCTGCGGCCACAGTGGCTTCCTTCCCACCCCCGCGCCCGATCCCAGCCACAGTGCTTTCCGAGGCGTAGCCCTGCGGTCGGCCACTGCGAGGAGGCCGGACTCCCGCGGTCGGTCCACAGCCTGAGACGGCAGGTCAGTAGGCCGCCCTGGAAAGTCTGTGTCTGGCACCCTCGGGGACCCTGCTTCCCAAAGTCAGGCCCCACTCCACCCCGGGACTGGATCCGCTTTGACAGAAGGCCTCGCGCAATGGACAGAAGATAAGCACCGGTCGCTGACCGCGGACGGTCGCTGTGGCAGGAAGCCCGCCCCTGGCAGCCCTACCTGAGCCGCCTGCTGGAGCTGGAGGAGCGGCAGGCGTCTCCCGGGCAGACGGCTCTCGGGCCTCCTGGTCCCCGCCACCCCTTGGCACTGCGGTTGGAGAGAAAAGGCAGCAGGTGGCCAAGCCTTCCCACCCTGCCCTGAGTGGGTGTGTTTTCTCCGCCGGGAAGGTGTTGTCTGGGTAAGAGGACAGACACCCAGCCCCTTGTGCACCTGTGGTGGGAACGAGCCACCAAGGAGTCCGGTGTGAGGGGTGCACCGGGGGGGGGACCCCAGTGGTGCGGTGAAGGGTCAGGGAGCTGGTGGGAGAGGGATCTGTAAAGGCCCAGGAGGGAAGGGCGGTGCGGGAGGGACGCAGGGTGCCAGGGGGGCACGGCACAGGGGACCTCACGCAGCGCAGACGTTACCTCTGCCAGCTTCAGGAGGAGACCAGCGTTTTCCATTTCCAGTTCCACGATTCGCTCTTCTCTGGCCTGCAGCCCACGACCAGAAAGGAAAATCATCAACATCAGTGGTCGTCATCGGTCGTCACGTCCACCCTCAGGACAAAGTCCCCGGGACAGGGCGCAGGCACGGGCCTGAGCACAGCCGTGGGGCAAGTCGGCTGGAGGGGCCGCCCGCCAGCCCCAGGCCCCGTATCTGTGACGACGCTCCACGCGCGGCCCAACCAGCAGCACCTGGGTTCCCGCCAAGTCAGAGGCCCCGCGACCTGCGTGCAAATACATCCTGAAAGGCTCTGCTCTGAGGACCCTGTCGCCAAAACCATTCTTTCCTATTATTAATTCACATGTGAGAGCTCTGCTGTGCGCCAGGCACCTGTCCAGGTGCCGTGGACACAACGGGAGCATCTGGTGGGAGAAGCCAAGGAGCCGGTGGACAGGTGACTAAGCTGGTGGACAGGTGACTAAGCCGGCGGACAGGTGACTAAGCCGGTGGACAGGTGACAAGCCGGTATCAACGTAAGAAACATTCAAACCTGTGCAGAATTTTTGTGAGTTTACTGGAGCCAAACTGATGACAACCGCAGGGAAGCGGAGTCTCCAAGGGCTGAGGGTGCCCCGAGAGCAGCAGCTCTGCACCTTGTTTTATCCGTTACAGTCAAAGAGAAGACCCCAGGGAGTGACATGAAACCCGCTGGCGATAAAGGGAGGCGGGAGACAGCCAAGTGAGCGGAGGGGGAACCTCTGCTACGGAGGTGGGTGCAGGGGCGTTAACAGTCAACAATTAACGGATAAAACAATGAGGATTTATGGTCGCTGCCCTGGGGCACAGGCTGTGCCCTGAGGGGTCTGGCAAAAGGGGGAGTTATCTTAGATGCAAAAGACAACAGACGGGCTGGGTTACGGTGAAGAGGGGCCTTTGTCAGGGAAGATGCCAGCTTAGGACAGGACTACCCACCAGACGCTGCTTTTAGGTTAGAAAGTTTTCACTTTTCAGACCATCCTTTGTGGTGACTTTAGGCCTCTGAGTTCGCGAGGCCCCCACGCAGGCCTCCCTGGGCTGGTCCGGTCAGCGTGTGACCCCTTTTTGTCCACACTGGGCAGCAGGGGCCGACCGGGACCTGAGGCAGCGGCTGGAGCAGACGTGACCTCATTTCCCTTCACCTCCTGGCGCGGTTTCGTTTATTTCTCGGAACATAACTGTACCAGCCGCTTTGAAGTCCACACGGGCCCCTCACGGCGAGTTTCTGCTGACTGGCTTTCCCGGGGAAGGGGCCCCCTTTCCTGTTTCTTTTCAGGTCTAATAATTTTTTGTCGAAACTGGGCGTTTTCGGTAATACGCTGTAGAAATGGGGCTGATTCCCTCCCCGGCAGCCGGTGTCTGCTGAGACCGCTCGGCGCCAGGGATGCTTCCCACAGCCTGCCGTCCACCCTGAGCTCCGGGGACCAGCCTCGGGACACGGCGCCGGGGGCAGCGGCTGAGCAGAGCCGCTGGTGACGGTCCTTCGGGATCCCTGGGTTCAGCGGCCGTCCCGCTGGTGTCGCCCCCACCCCACTAGTGTCCCCGCCTTTTCGACCCCGGCCGGGCCCTGTCCTTCTCCAGTGTCCGCGCAGTGAGGCCGGGCAGGCGCACCCTGCAGGCCGGGGTGAGGCTCTGGTGGAGGCGCCCCCGAGCTGCCTGTGAGGGCGGCACTGCACCCCAACCCACGTGTGAGGCCTGAACCCCGAGCCTCAGAATGTGGCTGCTTTTGGAGCCGGATTTTGGGGAGGTGGCTGCATTAGAATCAGGCTCTGATCCAAAAGCCCGGTGTCCGTCGGGAGAGAGCGGGCGCGGGGCGGCCGGGGGCTGCGCCCCGAAAGGCCCCTGAACTC